TATATATATAAATATATACACATACACACACACACACATACATACATACATACATACATACATACATACAATTGTTCTTCACAGAGGACAAAGAATATATGACTGTGAGTCGTGTCATATTTTCTGTCTACATGTGTATTCCAACTACAGAGGATTCACACTCCTCAACCTCCCTAAATATATGACTGTGAGTCGTGTCATATTTTCTGTCTTCATGTGTATTCCAACTAAAGAGGATTCACACTCCTCAATCTCCCTAGTAAGGTCTATTTGGGGGTGCTGCAGAGGAGGGTCCCTCGGGCGGTCGAATCTTAGATTTACGAGGAGCTATGTGGTTTTTGTCCCAGCCGTGGAACAGTGGACCAGCTCAACACCCTTAGCAAGATCCTTAAAGGGGCAAGGGAGTTTGCCCAACCAGCCTACATGTGTTGGACTTGGAGTAGGCGTTCGACCGTGTCCCTCGGGGAGTTTTGTGGGGGGTGCTTCGGGAGTATGGTGGGTCCCTGTACCACCGATGTTGGAGTCTGGTCCGTATTGCCGGCAATAAGTCAGATTTGTTTCCAGTGAGGGTTGGACTGTTCCACATCTCTGCTTTTTTTGCAGATGATGTGGTACTGATGGCTTCTTCAAGCCGTGATCTCCAACTCTCACTGGAGCAGTTCGCAGCGAGTGCGAAGCGATTGAGATGAAAAAGCAGCACTTCCAAAAGGTCAGTGATAGCTTAAACAAGCTGGATAGGGGCTCTTGAAGAACGAATTTGGGCACCCCTGTTTTTGGTATTTTCTTCCTGCAAAACACCTAATTCAAATGATCAGCTTATCAGCAAGCTGTGAGAAGCCTGATCGCAAACATTGCAACTTCCTGCTGCCTACTAACCAGAAGATGCGAGGCACAGATGACTGATGAGGCAAAGAAGAAGTAGGCGAGCAAATGCATTTGAAATCATGTCAGTCCTTTTATTGCAAGAATAACAAGAATAAATAGCACCCCAAAACAAAAAACAAAAAATCCTTAATTTACAAGATGGATACTGGTCACCCATAATGCACCTCTGACAAAAACATTTCCAGGCTGGAGTCCAGCAACCAAGTCCACTCTGGCTCCAAATGATACTGCGTGACACACAACATGTGCATTGGACACCATGCAGGGATGGCTCCATTTTTCCACATACTGGAAAAAAAATGGCAGCAGTTTACCTTGTGCTAAGCAAACAAACAATTCTGTGTGTTCCAAGTCAACATGAGAAGCACTTGAAGGGGGGGGGGGATCTCAGCCTGCCGTCATCTTTGACGTTCAACAAATTGCGCGATAACTGCACTTGCTTTTTAATGATAAACGCCGTCATATCTTGTCTCGTTCAAATCTATTTGAAATTGTAAGTACAAAATCATGTCACTTTTTTTTTTTTTTTTTTTTACAAACTTGTTTTAAGTAAGGTGTGTCTGCTGCCTTTCAACATTTGAACATTTTTCTTGTCATCTTTTAATCTGGGACATGTTTTAACTTTAGTTTCAGAATATGATGTCAAGATTTGATTTTCCTCAATGCAATGAAAACGAGCGTCAATTATTGACTAATTTTCACTCTTTCCCCGCGAGATGGGGTAGGGGCGGGGGGGGGGGGACTGCGGGGCCACA